GGCGGGGGGAGCATCAGGCTCGGCGTGGGGGGCTTTGGGGCACGGGCTCACCGGCTTTCGGGAGCGGGTGCTGGAAGGAAACGTGCTGGGAAATACGGCCTCCGGCTTCGGTTCAGGGCCAGCACCTCTCCCCACGTCTGCCCGGGATGTGTCCTCGCTGGGTGGCCCAACGTGGAGCCGTACTGCGTTGCAGGTGGAGATGCCGCACGTCGAGAACGCCCCGCAGCTCAGCAGCCCACCGTAACGAGCCGTGGCCCGTTGTGGGGAACGGTCGGCTGCGCTGTGCTCGCCTGCAGTAGGGGGCTATCAAGTGTGGCTTGCCTTTCCTAGGAGAGGAAGGCCGTCAGATGCATCTCCAGAAGCATCCTTTCTGTTTTGAGGGACGGTAGCGATTTCCCAGTGGGTCAGCATCTGTGCGGAGGGAGGTGAACACGACCAAGTCGCATTCCTGGAGCTTTTCCAGCTCCACCTTGATCTCTGGGATCCCCGCCAGCTCACGAGCCCATTCTGCAGTTTGCTTTTTCGATGTGGGTTGGTTTGGTCACAGAAGGTTTCCCTTGTTGCGGTTGCTGCGGGAGGAGGGAGATCGGTTGGCCCGAGGTTGGAAACGCTTGTAAGCCCGTCTTCTGCAAGATGACGAGGGTAGCGGGGCACCTTGCCCATTGTCTGAGTTGCTGACTTTGCCGTAGGCACGGCTTATACGGCACCGTAAAGAAGATAAAAATGTTCCTTGTTTAAAAGGGGAGAGGGAGAGTTTAATATATACGTCAGGTAACTGTGCTGTCTGTGAATAAAACCGAAAAAGACCTAAAAGTAGCAGAGGGTGTTTGATTGGGTTAACCTGCAAGCCCTCCTGCCATTAATACTTCAAAGCAGATTTCGGATTTGATACTTACTGAGGCCTAATCAAAATAGTACTGTAGCTGACTAATTTTGCAGTTGAAATTAAAACATCTCTTAAACATAAGCTAGAACATTCGTTATACTTTTGATTTGCAGAATACATCTAGAAATTTACTCAGAAGTTAATATTCAGTCTGAGACAAAGGATGTTGTCACCTATTTTAATATGAACAGTTAATTCTGAGAGTTGCTACCGAATCTCTATATTAATCTATTCAATGTGCGATAGGGAACCGCCTGTCCCTCGGTGGCTGTGAGGTGTGCAGGTGCCGGAGAGACTGTATGAACATGCAGCGCAGTAAACAAAAATGCCGTGAGAATTTGGGAACCTTGAGGGCGTGGGGCTGAATTTACTGCAGAATTTGTGCTTCAGATGCTTAAGGGGAGCACTAATTAGAAATTGGAGGGTCACTGGCCTTTGAAAAATACAGCGAAGATTAATTTAGTTATGCTTCTCCTTTGGTTCTTAGGCTGCTCTACCAAACCCCTTTCAGTAGTCGGTAGCGCTGTCCTCCAAAGAGACTTTTCTCCCCAAAGCTTTTCAAAGAAACGTGTGCCATTGCAATGGTGGGCAAGGTGGGGGGCACAGGCAAAGTAAAACACTACCACTTCAGTTCGCAGGTTGAAACAAGCCTGTGTAATTAGATTGCTCATCCAGGCCAGGAGATTAACTTGACTAGCCGTTTCTTGGAAACCTTTGAAGCAGCAGAGTTAGAAGAACTACCAGTGGTATCGGAAACATTAACTAAAAAACGCAGAGTTGCTTTTTTTTATTATTATTTGTTTGGTACCACATTAAAACCCTGTTTGTAGTGGCTTTTTGGGGGGGGGTGCTCTGTAGTCTCTCTTACTGTGCTTCTGCAGACAGTAAGAGATTTGAAGTTGTTCCCTTGGCAATTACCACAGCGTAGAGCCAAGTGGCCTCAAGCAGAATTAAAACCGAGTGTACAGCCAGAAGTGTTTTCACCTCTAAGCCCAAGCCCTCTCAGGCGGTCCAGACAAATTCCATTCCTAACACCTTGTTTGCTCCCACTTTCCGTCTCCTGAAATCACATTTCCCGCGCGCGACTCGAGGTGCTCTCGGGATGAGGAGGTTCAAGAGAAGTCTGAAGAAGAGCTTCAGTGCATGACCCAGAAAGGCGGCGGAGCCTCTCGCCCGGGGCTTGCAGTGTCGTCTCTGTACCTGCCTTGGCCGGGATGGAAGCGCGGTCTAGAGAAAAAGGGTGACGAGCTCGGAGAGGCCAGCCTGGAAGCCTGTGTGGGTTTCTTATAGCTGAGAGTGCACATGCAGGCTGTAACGAGTGTGAACGCTGTAACGGTGCCCAGAGAGGGCTCCTCGCTGGAGGTGTTACCCGGTGGGGGTGACTACAGGGCCTGGAGGCGGAGAGCTCTGCCTGCTTGATTGGGAGACAAAAAATGAGCGAAGCCCTACGTGGACCTACCTCCCTCTGCAGGACTGGGATTTGGGAGTTGAGTAGGACTTGAACATTTAGGAGGTTTTAGAAATGCCTTGCTGTTCGCAGATGCTGCATTTATTTAGGTGGCAAAGGTGAATGGTGTCTGTTCTGGCGGTCTCTGGATGTGTGGGTAGAACTTAAGTACTTGTGCTCCTTAAAAAGCAGGGGTGAGCCTAGCTGTCTGGGGTAAGCTCTCCTGCCTGGGCTGTGCAGCAGAGATCTGTTAGCAGGGCTGAGATCTGTGTTTACAAAAAAAAAAAAAAGTTTTTTCTCCCCTGCCCCCCCCCCCCCCAACATACTCCACCCTGACCATGCAGTGGTTTCGCTTCTCTTCTTTGCGTTCCTTTCTGAGGATCAGCAGTGTGAAGGTCATTAAAGCTGTACCCTGCAGAGCAGAGGTCACTGTACGCATTTAAACACCTGCCACGATGAAGATGAAAGAGTCCCTGAAAAAATTCAAGGGTGTTGTATTTTTGTGGGCCCCATCTTCCCCGCCAGCAGTTTGTGAAGAGGTGACTTGCATTCCCCCCTGGAGAGCTGCGTGGCTATGCAGGGCTGGGTCTCCCCTGGGCTGGGAGAAGCCTGGCTGCTCTGTGTCTGGAGGTGGTCGCAGAAACAGCCCCACCACAGGTTTTCAGGGCCTTCTGAGTTTCTCTGGAGCAGCTTTAACTGTTCTGTGTCAGGCTGCAATGGTAGGGAAATGCAATGGTAGTGGTGGGGGAATAGAAAACTACAAGGACTGCCCTGTGAGTTTAAAGTTGCATTTTTATAACACAGTGTTATCTTTAGGGCATAAAGATTGGATGCATGCAAATGTGGGTATAGTCGTAATTCTTGCTGTTCTTGTGGCAGGGTTTGCGGTGCAAGGGCTGGGCCCTGGTCCCTGGGGAGTGAGGAGGAGGGCAGGAGTAAGTCCCTTGTCTGTCCAGCAGAATCCAAAGAATGCATTCCCAGCATATGGGGTCTGACTTTGAGCAGAAGCAGACTTCTTCTAACTCTGCTGCTTCAAAGGTTTCCAAACCTTCAAAGCTGCTCCGGGGATGTCAGAGGTCCCCCCATCCATGTCATGCTTCTAATTGCTTTGAAAATGGGAGATCTGTCATTGACTTCTTCTCTGACAAAGATGTTGTTTGGCACCGAACCCAGCGCTAGATATCTTGCTGTGTATGCCCCTGTCCCCTAAGACTGTTATAAAGGAAAGTGTGTGCACCCCGTGATTTACATGAGCTCAGCTGTCTCGTGTGCAAGCTTTGTCTTTTTTTAGTTTTTATAACTATAGTGTTAGGATTTAGTAGTGGAGGGGAAGGGGAATGGAGCCAAGGTGCTTAGAGAAGATAATTCTGATTCTTTAATCGTGTAGGTGCTAAAGAAGAAACTGTTATAACAGAGGCTAGTCTCATGCCTCTTGACTGAGAAACTCATAAGGAACTTTTCTTTTCCTGCACTTTGCAAGGAAGCATTTTTTGGCGATAGCGCAGAATAAGTTCTAAGCACTGGGAGTAACTGAGCCCCATACCCCCCACCCCACCGCCCGTTTGATCTGTTGAGTGTGAGCTTGAAGGATACCTGTAACACTTGTGTATTGAGGCTCATGGAGAACACCTAAGACTGTGCTGAGTGCCAGCAGTGCCTTGGCTAAGGGAAAAGGAAAGGGAAAGACCTTTCATCTTTGCCTGATGGAGGAGATCTCGGTTTAACGAGCTGTTTGTTTGTGTTAATACGATTAATGCAAGTGCACTCCAGCTCTTGGCTAATGACTGAGTTGTATTTTGGCTCTTGATTGCTAAAGGTGACAGCAGCCTGTATTTGAAAACTGACGTGTCTCCCTGGCGATCTCTCGCTGGTTCAGTTTTGAACACTCTGGGTATGGGAAGATGCTAAAGGTGGCAATTGTTGTATGGGGGTTTTAGTTAAACAGGCAAATTAGATAAAGGGCACTTGGCTGATAATTAGTCAGTTAATTCACTCAAACTCGGTCTGGTCCAAGCAGAAAGGGAGCTTTTTAAATTTTGTTAAAACTGGGAATTCTCTCTTCATTGGGGAAAATGGACCATTTCAAGCAGCTGACGCCTGTGATTTTGGTGGTGCTCGCTGAGCCCGGGAACCCCGTCCCTAGGAGTCTAGTGGTTCTTGTTAGGCTTTAGCTGTTGCTGCGTTCTTGCCTTGCCTTGGAGGGCTCAGACAGGTATTTTACATCCCTGACTCCAGAGCTCAGCCCGCGCCGCCGAAGCCTGGTGAATTATGCTGGCTATGCACGTGGCTTGGGGGCAAGGAGTTGGTCGTGTTATTCATCGGCGCTCCCTTCCAGCGTGCCAAAGAGCAAACTGAGTACTTGTCTACAAAGGCAATTATTTCACAAGAAAGTTGCTGTAGGGAGCAGCAGGAGCCAGCGTGGTTAGTAGAGAGAAAAGATTTCCCTTATCTTTTTTTTCCTCCCAGTGTGTAGGACCCTCTGAACCATTTTTCAGCCTGATCTTGCCGCTGAAACGGGTCTGCTGCTTCTTGCCAGGCCAGACTCGCCCCTCGCATGAGATCTCAGCGGCACCGGGCTGTGGGGAAGCGGAGGGAAAGGGACAGGGCAGGGGAGTGTCCTAGCGCAGAGGCGGAGGGCTAAATGGGGGGTCCCGAAATCGCTCCCACGCGGGAGCACTTGAGGGTCCCTCGCAGGCCGCGTTTTGGCGTGGGTGGAGCGTGCTGTCCCCTGGGTCATCCAGGCATCAGGGGGACACGCGGCAAGGCGAGACTTTACCCCGCTAAGGTTGGTCTTGGCATTTCTGTTTATAGAAAGAGAGTGTTTCTAGCTGGCCTTGGATTTTTAAAAAAAGAAAAAAGCTTGATTGAGCTGTTAGCGGTGGGAGCCAGCATCGTTTGTCAGCGGCACAGGGCACAAACTGCGACTGGGTCGGGATCGGTCCCTGGGCATCTCTGGAGCTGTCGGAGGGGGCCGGTGGCAGAGAGCTTTCTGCCTGGCAGGGGTATGAGAACCTTTCTTGCTTCCATCGGTTGTTGTAGCTCCTGCAAATGCGCTTGCTGAGCTTTATGTGTAAACCCTGGCATCTTCCAGGAGAGTTGGTCATCTCAAAACACCTGCATGGGGTGGGAGAGTGTCAAAGCAATGTTTTTTTCCCTTTTAAAGTAGGAGTGTCTGTTTACCAGGGGTCTGCATTAAAACTTTGTCCTACCACTTTGGGTACTCTTCTCCGTTAATCAGTGTAGACACCTTGGGTACGTTACAAGGGCTGTCGTGTTCTGATGTGTTCTCTTGTGTTCTCGTGACCCGTGGCCTAAAGCTGCTCTGGCTACTGCCCATTGTCACTAACAACGTGGGTTTTGACAGACTGAAGGGGCTTTCACCCATCACATGTGGCTCCTCTTCATGGGCGCAGCCGGCGTTGGGAGAGAACGGACCCTTTTTTCCACTTTCCGACTGTTGCAGCCCGAAGGCCGCGCCTCAGGTGCCCGAGGAGGGCACGGCAATTAAGAGTCTTGACCTGGGAGGCTGCAGCTTGGGCTGACGAACACCTCGTGCTCTGCAAGGTCAGGCTCAAGCCACCCATCAGCAGCCCAGAGGTGCTCATCACACGTGCCAGTGCCGGGCCCGTTACATCACCGAAAACGGCGTGCCAGGAGTTTTCGGCGTCCGCTGGAGCCCCAGTGAGCGTAGTACTGGAGTTGCCAGATCTTGGTTTTGCGGACAAAGGGGCTTTTGCTGTGCCCCCCCTAGGCACAGCAGGCAGCTTGCCTCCCCCGAAATGGTGGGAGCTGGGGATTCTTCCCCCAAGGCCCAGGTCTGTGCGCGGGCAGCCAGGGTTAGCAGGGCAGCTGAAGCAATGCTGTCCGTGCTCACTCTTCATTAACGCAGTCTGATGACTCACAAAAAGTTAATGACTTTAGCCCAAGGAGTTACAGCAGTGGTAAATCTGGGCTCTACATGTATCGCCCTTGTTCTGAACAGCACAGCATAAACATCAAAGCAGGGAGACGGGCTTTACGCGAGGGATATTTGCACTCTTGCAGCGTACAGCTTGCCTGTGGCTCAGCAGCTGTGAGCTGCCTGCCATTAGAAGCATAAAACAAAGTTAGTAAATGTGGAAACACGCCTGGGGTACAGGCTGGTGAGATGTAGCGTGGTTCAGGCAAGGGGTGACCATGAAATGTGGTGTTCAGTTTCATAAGAAGTGTTTTGTGCCTGTTTGGGCAGGAGGAAGAAACAGCTACTCCGTCCCTCACATCTGTTCTCTTTTACCCAGGGAGCGCATGGAGTTACTGGAAGAAGCCAGGAAGATGGAAATGGCAAAGTTTCGCTACATCCTTCCTGTTTATGGCATCTGTAAAGAGCCGGTTGGCTTGGTCATGGAATACATGGAAACGGGGTCTCTGGAAAAGCTCCTGGCTTCCGAACCTCTGCCCTGGGAACTGCGCTTCCGAATCATCCATGAGACAGCAGTGGGGATGAACTTCCTGCACTGCATGTCGCCTCCACTGCTCCACCTGGACCTGAAGCCTGCTAACATCCTGCTCGATGCCCACTACCATGTCAAGGTACGCACTGGGCGCTCTGTGCCAGGGACTCACTTTTGGATATTCCTGCATACCTCCTCCCAAATTCGAAGGCTTGAGAGAAACCAGCAGCATTCCTTTTCAATTAAAAAATGCCCAGCAACCCAACCACTCCAATCCTCAAACTCGTCTACCTGATTTATGCACCATTTTGGTACATAGAGGTAGAATTAGGAAGCTTGTGAGAGTTCTCCTGAAATTTTGGGAGGGTGCTAGCATAGTGAACTCTGGTTTTGAGACCTCATGGGTCCTGCTGTAAACTTCCTTGCAGTAAGGTCATGAGGCAGGGAAAGAAAAGCAGTGTGAACCTCTGAATCATCTACGCCGCTTCCACGGCTCGCAGAGGTAACTGTATTCTGTCTAGGCCCTTCTGGCTTTGTACGCCCCACTAAATACCCACATCTCATTCACAGCTGGAGTCCAGAGGAGCCTTCCTTGAGGCAACTGTTTTTCTTCTTTCATTTGCTCAGAGCATATACACTGAAGAAGTATCTCTGTCCTGACTGCTTATGTGTACTGGAGGTCACTTAAGGAAATTTTTGTGGCTGTATCAGTATGAAATCCTTTTCATTATCCATTTCCAGAGTAAGCCAGAAAAACTAGCATTCTCTGTTGAAGCTTCTGTTATGACAGCTGGACTAGGGAGGCCGTGCTTGCTTTCTGGACTTTGCTGCTGGAGAAGAAAGAGGCTGAAATACGTATTTTTCCTGACTGTTTTCAAATCAGTGGCCAAACTCTTCACCTTAGGACTGCAGGATTAATCATGCTGGCTGGCTTATATAACTCAGTACAAGTTGTCATAGATTTTAATCAGTGCCGTCATCCATCTGCTCCGTTTTCCTGTCCCCCTCAAACTGGCCAAATGGCTTTGGCCTGTACCATTCTAAAAAGGGCATTTTCATGAAATGAAAACATTTCTCCTGATGTCACATGACGGTTGGAGCCATAAGAGGCGTGTGCCTCTAATGAAATCACACCTGTGACAGTATCAGCTTCTTTACTAGACCTCTTTGTGGTTTACTTCTTCGAAGGATTTTCCTTCTGAGATAGGAGGCATCTACAGGTGGTCCATGGTATTATGGCCAGAACATTGGTGTCCGAAGTGTTGGAAGTGTGTTCTCACACACTGGCGCTGAGAGGCCTTCGCAAAATATTTATTTACCCGAAGTTTGTGCTTGGTTGCATAACTTCTTAAATTCCTCGTTCTTGAGTCATCCACGAGCCAAGATATAAAGGCTCTATTTTTCTCCCTGTTTCAAGAGGTTGAAATGCTGCCTGGTATTCTGCCTACTATATAGCTTATATTGGGTGGTGCAATATTGTATACAAGGGGCAAAGTGCGAAATGTAAAAAAAAAAAAATAAACACCAAAAGTTTCTGATTAGGTCATTGTTGACATCCCTAAGCTACTGCTACTTGCTCTGCTCTGTATATGAAACACAGGAAGGTTTTCAGACCCCTTCCATTCAGTTCAGAAAAGAACGGTCTAATCCAAACCTTTTCCCAGCCAGCAGTCTTTTACATCTGCAGGTGTCTTGGAACCCCCTCCAAGCAGCAAAGCAGACATACAAACCTATGTGCGAAATAAGAGATGTAGATATTCTGGGAGGCACCTTTGGTTTAAAAATGTGGCCCCAAACCTTCTTTTTGTGTGATGTGAAACTTGTAATTACGTTTCAGACCCTGCAGCTTCATCTAATGTGCATTTTCTTGCTGGAGGGCTAATGGAGCTGATGACTGAAGTGTTTTTTTTAAATGTTAGCATTAATTTAGTAGGTGATCTGTCCCTAATAGAATCCGAAGGTGAGTGAATAGGTGTTGCAGACTGTAAAGGAAGAGTTTGGGGGTAGAGAGGACTTTTATAAACTGTTTGCCCTTGAGCCAGGAAACAGGCGGTCTCCCAGTCCAGTGCATTGTAAATGCTTCTGTGCCCTATTGCTAGTTGAATGGAAACACACCCTTCTTCTTTTACGAGCACAACACTTACTGTAAAAGACCCAAGTGAGGAGGATGACTAATGCAGTAGTGTTGTACAGAACTTATCATCAAGTGGGTGCCTCCATATCATAAAGCCGTCTCCTGTGTGTTACATAAGTGTGTACTGAATTTTGTTCTTGGGAGGATAATTAAGAGGACGAGATTAGCCTGAGCATTGAGCAGGGATATGGATAGAGAGATATTAACTTTTTCAGAGGCATGTTGAGGGATTCCTTGGTGATTTTAAATACATGTTTCTAACACGTACAACTCAAGATAAGGCTTTGCTGTTTTTGCAGGATGTGTGCATGTATGCCTCCTCACAGAATCACAGAATGTTCGGGGTTGGAAGGGACCTCTGTGGGTCATCTAGTCCAGCCCCCCTGACGAAACAGGGTCACCCCACGGCAGGCTGCACAGGACCATGTCCAGGCAGGTCTTGAATATCTCCAGAGAAGGAGACTCCACAACCTCCCTGGGCAGCCTGTTCCAGTGCTCCGTCACCCTCAGAGGGAAGAAGTTCTTCCTCATGTTCAGACGGAACTTCCTGTGCTTCAGTTTGTGCCCGTTGCCCCTTGTCCTGTCGCTGGGCACCACTGAAAAGAGTCTGGCCCCATCCTCCTGACACCCACCCTTAAGATATTTGTAAGCATTTATAAGGTCCTCCCCTGCAAGTAGTGGTGGAGCTCAATATTGACAGGAGCCTCAGCTGGCAGCTCCCTTCCTCTCCATATGCTACTCTGTCTTGGTTGCCTTAAGTAGTGTGGTTTGCTTGGGAGGATTATTCCATACCCAGGCAGGCTTTGCTGGCCGTGATCAGCCTGCATTATATTTCTTCAATTTCAACCTGTTGCTTCTATTTGTATCAAGATCCTCCTTGCCCCTTTCTCCAATGTCCATATATGCAGCCTTCCAATACTTAACGGGCTGCTTGACACCTAGTTTTTGCTTAACTGAACCACATCTTACGAGCCTGTTCTTCAGCTCTCCTGTCCTCCGTACCCGTTCTGGATGTCTCCCCTGAGCTCCCTGTGATGTGGCAATCGCTTGCAAGGAGCAGGCGCCGGGGAAGCAGAGCCACATTCCAGCGCTGACCTCGTCAGCTCGCTCTTGGTTTGCTCGTTCTCTGCTCTGGTGTTCCCTGCTCCGCTGTCATCTCTCTCCAGGGCCCTCGGTAGGAGAATACACACGCCCCCACCCACCCCCGATGCAGTAATCTCTACCCTACCTTGTTGCCAGCTGCCCTGCCCCCATGCTCACTCTATTACTACTTCACGGGTTTCTTATCTTCAGTATCTCATGGTTAAGAGTGCTACTTTTTGTTCAGGTATTTAAAATTAAGTCAGCCTGCAACTTAATACTTTTAGGGAAAAGCCTTATTTGTAAATTCTTGTTTCTCCTATTCATCGTGGTTTTGCAGCTCCTCATCTTGTCGTGTATATATACACACGTGTGTGTGTGTGTGTGTGCATACATGCACACCCAGGGGCAAATCCCACCAGTTATTTTTCATCTCCCAGATTTTGTTTTTAAAGAACTCGAATCGGGATGAGCTGGTCTCAGCTGTGCGCTGCTTTAAGCTCACTGGGGTTGCTTTTATTTTTTTCCCTGGTGCTCCAGTTTAAACCAGTGCGAAGAGTGAAGTTTGCTGCTGTGTTGTGCTGTACTGGTGATCTTGCTAAACATGGATAGGTTGCCTCTGTGGTCTTCACCTTTATTTGGTTCAGCTGGAGAAGGGGCGACAAAATTTCTGAGCGTGGAGTTAGAAGAAGCCTAGCCAGACAGCAAAGTTGTTTATCAGAAAGCTTCTTAATGTGGGTCATTAACTGTAGGCCAAAGTAATACCCAGAGGCCAGGCTGGTAAAGAGCGGGAATGCTCTCCTGTTACTAGAAGTCAGAAGAGTCGTTGCTGTTTTGCGTGTCCCTTCACCCTGTTTCCCACCCCTCCTGATCAAGGTTTCCACCTAGGGCTGTTGCTAGGTGGCTCTTCAATCCCAGTTAACAAAGCTGGTTTTCACCTTGGTCAGTTCTCTAACTGATCTAACTGTGGTGGCACAGGGGAGGGAACGAGACCATCCCTGGATTAAAATGGCTGTTTGACCATGGCTTTGGGTTCTGCCGCTTCTGAGGACAGCATTACAGACATCACACCTGAAATGGGTTTTGAGGAGTTCAGGTTTCAGGACAGGCTGGAAATACAGTCTGTTTCAGAAAGACTTCTTTTAGTAGCTAACTGATGTTTGTTCATAAACACTGAGGTAACGACGTATGTTTGGAGTGCAGGTGCTGGTTGTATCTACGCTTGGAATTAATTTTTATTCCTAATTTTTAGTAGTCGAAATCTGTGGCCCATGTAAGTCTTTTAAAAATTTCTGGCATTTCTTAAAGAACAAAATTGAAGCAACCAGCCTTTCTCCCCTACTCTCAGAAAAACAAACAAGCAAGGCCAAGCCCCCGCTTCCCCCCAAACACCCCAAAACCCTGTATACAAATGTGGTGACATTCTCAATATCCAAGTGCACAGGGACAAATACTGGCTATGCCAGCAGCAATCAAAAATTAATCTGATGGCCTTGTTACGCATTTGATGAAGAAAACCTTTTGGTGAACTCTGTCCCCGAGTCCATTGCAGTGGGTTCTTGAGTCATATTTGCAGAAAAATGACATGCAGCATCGGAAGCCAAGTGCACCCTTCAGAGTGGCCTGTAAGGAGTCATCAGTGAATGCACTTTCCAACCACTAATTTTGTTCCTGGGAGCTAGATCCCTGCTGCGTTTGGGAATAGTTGACTTTAGTAACCAGTGCAGTTACGTGAGCACATTTACTAGTAAGTTCCAGAAAGTAACATGACAAACTCAAAGCATCTAAAACTTTGCAAGTGGGTGTTTTTTGCAAACCAGAGTGGAAACATCCACAAATGACAGAAGCGGAGAAAGGCCTGTGTGCACCGCATGCTTGACTTAAAACAAACAAAACTGAAAAAACAAAGCGTGTGTGAGGGGGAAGTCTTCAGATCTTGGACCCTCTCAGTAAAATAGAGTGTTGCTGGGAAGTGGGCAGGAAAACATACACAGCTCTCCTCCCCAGTCGCTGCTCATGTGTTCGTTCTCCTGAAGACCTTTAAAGAGCAGAGGCCGAGTGAGCTGTCTGAACACGAACAATCCCACTGTCTGCGTGGGCTTTGGCCAAGGGTTTTTTTCTCTTCTTCCTACCTCTTCACCACGTGTTTTGCATGAAGCAGTCTGTCTCCTCTTAACTCTGCTGGTATTAGGTATGCTTTTGAAGCGTGACGGGATCTACCTGAGGTAGCTGATGTGAGGAGGGAGATTCGGGGCTCTGTCGGATGGTGGGGCAGGGCAGGTCCCGGGGTGGGCTGCAAAGGCTAGCGGGGGTGCGGAGGAAGGAGCGCGGAGGGGTGCTCTGTTTTCGCTGCCTTCACTGGCAAAGGGTGCCTCACGTTGCAGAACCAGGTACCTGGCAAGCAATTTAAAGGCAAAATAGGTAAGTTAAGCTGTGTCTTCCACCCACTGCACAGTTCCCAGTGATGTTAAAAGAAACTGCATGACTAAGCGCCCTATGGAGTGTGGAAAATTTACCCTAAAGGAACTAATAAAAGCCCCAAAAACTGTCTGCAGGATCTTACTCTTTTGTTGCAGTCTGAAAGATAACAATTCTTCAACTTCCAGTGCTTTCTGCAGAATTTGATACGACTGAAGCTCTGCCCTGCAGATGAATTTACTATTAATTGGTATAAAACCTAGTCCTCCCCAGTAGGTAGGGGCAGGTTCATAAGGTAAAGTTCTTTCTAGCTTCATGGGGGGGGGAGTATACTGTGTACCTTGGCTGTTTCTTGGTTTGTAGGTTGAGAGCTTTTCTGTCTAGTGTGCTCAGCCTCCTGGCTTAGCCCCTAGGCTTAGACTGACGCAGCGAACGTGGTGGCTCTTAACACAGGAGTGTCACTGTGCTGTCTGTATTTCGTCTTTATGTCTTAACTTACACAGTAGGAAACCCGGTATTGTTTAGACAAAGAGGAAGGTGTATTACTTTAATTATGCCTGCATGCCATATGGATTTCTTGAGGTGTATACAAGCCTCTGCTTCACGTTAATCAAAGGATAGCAGTGCTTCGCCAAGTCGGATCTGTCCGGGCTTGCAGCGGTTGGTTCATTTATTAACCTGACACCACGGGCTTGTGTGATGTTGGGGTTGTGCTTTTGTTCTGCTGCGGAGCACGAAGCGCCCCAAACTCATGCAGCGCTTCCCGGGGCGGTCGATTCGGCTCTTCCCAGGGTCAGCTGGCTCGCGCACCTGCGTTTCTTGACTGCTTACTGCCTTGCTGGACTCCACGGCTTGGCTTGCTGAGGCAGCCAGCAGACCCCTCCGAGAGTGTATCCCTACACACACAAGAAACTATTCCTCCAGATGACTTTGCGCTTTTCCCTTCCTCCCCCACCCCCCATTTTCTGTCTTCTCAAGTCATTCCCACATTACCCTACAGATCTGAGATGCAGATGGACAGCAGGTTGGATATACCTGTGTGCTAGGGTGCAGCGCTTCAGCAGCTCCTGAGAATGCTGCCACTGAGCTCTTTGTCCCTGGGAGAAGGTCTTCCCGAAGCTGTGTGGCTTGCGTTGTTTGGGTTCATTGCAAAGGGAGATTCGTAGCACTGGAAGACCAGTGGCTGTGTAGCCTGCCTGTTCTCCAGGAGGCTGAAGCTGGCAGCAGTTTTCTCCCTCCCCAGTAATGGACGCATGTTACGACTGGCTTTGTGGTATCTTTAGACAGAAACTTCTGAAAGTGTGAAGTTGGAGCCTATTTAAAAAAAGAGTAAAAGCTTTTTTTAATTATGCTTGTTGTTTTGAGGGAGAACTTTCTCAAAGGAGAAGCTGTGAAGATCAAAAGGGGAATGAGTCATTGAAAAACCTGAGTATTTATTAGATAAAAAGAATGTATAAGTTGGGTGGGGGGCAGGGGAGGGGGAAGAAGCCTTATCTAACATGCGGACAAAAATCAGGGGGCTGAGTGGTCCAAAAAGACTTGACTTTTCTTGAAATTTCCACTTAGCATAATAGACATTTTTGACCAGTGGGAAATAAGGAAGACAAAGGAAATTCCTTGCCTATCTGTTTGCTTGATGATTGGTATGCCTTTGAGAGCAAATGAATGCATATTTCTTTGACACTTCAAATTAAAGTGGAGGTGTGTTTTCCTTTTTGTAAACTTGCTGTCACTTGTTCATTTCAGCTGTGTTCACTGCGTCACTGCACCAACTTGCCATATCTTCTAGTTGCCAAAAAGAATTCCCTGTGTGGGTTTTTGATATGTGTGTGTGTGTTTTGGCTTGGGTTTGGGTGTTTTTAACCCTTGGTGCCTCTGGTGTTGGTCTTAGCGCTTGTTGCATGGTCAGTGTAACAGTGATGTCTGAAAGAGCAATTCTCTTGCACTCGTTGGAGAGCTCGTGGTCGGAAAACAGGTGCTCAGAACACTAAAACATAGCATACAGCATTGAGGTTACACAGGGAAAGGGGGTGGCAGGACCAATAATTATATTAAAGTAGTTTGTACTAGCTAAATTTGACTAGTTTAAAATTACAATAAATTGTCTTGACTGTTTGTTGTTTTTGCTATGTAATGGGCTAACATGCTGCTGCTTGCAAGAAACTGCTTGCCTTTTTATGGTTAGCTAAAAAAAAAAAAGAAAAGCCCAACATCGCATAATGCTTACAGAGATGTTTTCTTAGCTTAGTATTTCTGAACGGCAGCTCTCTCTATTTTTGTTGGGTCACCCTGGTTACATCTGTCGTTCTTTACCAAAAATTTTTTGTTAACACCTCCAGAGTCTAAAAGTAGCACACACTTCTCTTCCTCCTCCATTTTTTGCAGATTTCTGACTTTGGACTTGCAAAGTGCAATGGCTTGTCCCATTCCCATGACATCAGCATGGATGGCTTGTGTGGCACGATTGCGTACCTCCCTCCAGAGCGCATCAAAGAGAAAAACAGGTGTTTTGACACCAAACATGATGTGTACAGGTCAGTTGGCTATGAAAACACGTAAAAGCACTTTAAGTAATACTGTAAAATGAGACCTTTTTCTGGTTATGTAACCTAACTGAGCATGAAACCCCTAAATCTAGTTTGAACTTCATTTTGCAAAGGGTCACGTTTGCTTTGCTTTTTGCAAAGTCTTTATTTGCAAAGGGTCACGTTTGCTTTGCTTTTTGCAAAGTCTTTATAGGGTAGAGGCCTTTTAGCAAACTGCAGCTGATCCTGGGTCTTGAGTGTGACGATTCCAAGTAACACTTATTTATTGGCAGCTGGCATGGGAGGCATTCTGCCCACCTTCAGTTTCCCCATCAAAAGGTACATCCTGACCTACTTTTTGAGTTTGTGACAAAATTCATAGTTATCTTCAGTGGATTTCATCACTAGGTCTTTGGTTCTTCTTTCATGGTGAGGTTATTAAGAAACGGAAATCATAGCTGTAGATTAAAAGACATGTCATATTCTAAATGGAATGCATTTCTTTAAAGTCGCCTTGCAGGGTAGAAGTAGTAAATGAAATCCACGGTAATGCTTTGCTGCTCTCTGATTTTGTCAGTGTTGGTGTGGGGTAGTTGGTAAATGTTTCCAAGAACTCGGCAGCCTCCAGCAAATCCCCGTGTTCGCTGCCTCGGGTTCTTCCCTGCGGAAACTAGACTTTCAAATTGTGGTTCTTGGCTGCATCTGGCTGTGCATGTTCATCAGCTGAATTAGATGCAGACATGAAGGACAAGGAAAGAGAACTTAGGCAAATAAATGATACTTCTGTGAGGTTTTTTGGCTTTCGTACTGGGTTTTTTTTATAGCTTTTCTAGAAATACTTTTTTTTTGCATTTATTTGTAGCTTTGCCATCGTGGTTTGGGGAGTTCTTACACAGAAGAAGCCTTTTGCAGGTAAGTTTGATGTATTGTGGGTTGTGCTGGAATTTTCTGCCCTTTCTCCCATTGATAAGCACGCTTCCTGGCGCACCACCCCTGGATTACGTGCATGTCCTCCAAATTCCTACAGTCTGGTGTGGCAGACGCTTTTAAGCTCTCAAATTCTCAGCACAAATGTGAGTCCTCCTGTGTGCTCCGTCGTGAAGGCAGAACCCATGTTGCCGCAGGGACCCCCACTCTGCACCGTTTGGCTTCTGCTGGAGTTTGCTGTACGGACCCAGATTAGCGCGTGGCCCGCGCAGACTGCTGACACGTGTGTGGCCAGCGAGGAACAGCGCAGAGCAAAGCCAACGGGCTGGCAGCTGCACTGTTTTCAGAAATGGCTCCTCTGTAGAGAGGTTCTGTAGTTTATTTGTAGATTGTGGGTACAGATTTCTTTTTTTAAAAAAAAAAAAA